CCGAGTTTGTTTGGGTAGCTACTGTGATCGGAAGTTATACAGTGTGTAGATGCGAGGTTCGGTTCTTGCAGAAAATTCTGGATGTTGGAAATTGGATTATGTGGTTTGTGGGCTAAGGTTGAAGTAATGATCTTCAGTTATGTTGTGTTGTCAGGCCTATATAGAATAGGGTGACGTCGGATCACCCCCGGGTATGTGCATGGTAAGGTTACATGGCAGCTTGATGGATTTAGAGCGACTCTCGATACGTTCGAGGACAAACGTATATTTAAGTGGGGGGAGGATGTAACGACCCGACCGATCGTTTTGAGAAATTTCACTTTGCTCGGCATTTTGAGGGCAAGAGTAGCTCCGTATGATGTATTATGACTTGTGTGAATTGTCGGTTTTGGTTTTCAGGTTATTCGGAATCGATTTAGAAGAATGAATTTCATTGTTGAAGCTTTAAGTTGGAAGAGGTGATTAAGTTTGACTTTTGTGAATTTGACCCCAGAATGGAGTTCTGATGGTTTCATTAGGTCCGTATGATGATTTTGTACTCAGGCGTATGCCCGGATTTGCATTTGGATATTTCTAAAAGGATTCGGCACTAATTGGCGAAAGTGGGAAATTTGAAGTTTTGGAAAGTTCAAAAGTTTGACTGCGAGTTGATTTTGTGGATATCGGATTCGGATTGTGGTTCCGGGAATTGTAATAGCTTCTTTATGACATTTGGGACTTATGTGCAAATTTTGAGTTCATTCCGAGTTGATTTGTTATGTTTCGGCACGAGTTTTAGAAGTTGAAAGTTCAAAGTTCATTTGAGTTTGATTTGAGGTCTGAATCGGCGTTTTGATGTTGTTATGTTTGATTTGAGGCCTCAAGTAGGTCCGTATTATGTTATGGAACTTGTTGGTATATTAAGACGGGGTCCCGAGGGGCTCGGGTGAGTTCGGACGAGGTTCGGATCATTTCTGGAAATTTTGGCTAAGGCTGGTTTGGCAGAGGTTCTGGTATGACTGCACCTGCGGAGCAATGGGCGCAGGTGCAGAACCGTAAAAGAGGCAGTGTCATCGCAGAAGCGAAAGAAGACTCGGCTTCGAGTCTTCGCAGATGTGGAGAAAGAGGCGCACTTGCGTGTGAGTAGGAGCAGAAGCAGCGATCACAGAAGCGAAAATTGACTTGGTTACTGTGGAACGCAGATGCGGAAGGATTTCCGTAGGTGCGGACTCCCACCTGCATGTCTGTGGTCATAGAAGCGGAGGCAGTGGAGCCTTAGGCAAACTGCAGGAGCGGAGGATTTCTCGCACCTGCGAAACCGCCGGTGCGAAAGTGCTCGACAGAATATTAAGTTCAAGGGTTTCGTGATTTTCTTCATTTTGGACATTTCAAGCTCGGGCTTAGGCAATTTTTGAGAAGGATTTCGAATGGATTCTTAAGATAAGTCACTTGTGGTTAATTTTGTTCACTAATTATGATTCCCCATTGAATTTTCCACCTAGTTTGTGTGTTTTTGCGGTGTAATTTTGGGAGTTTGAGGCTAGGAATTTGAAGAGTTTAATTTGGGAATTTGAGTGACGATTTGGTGTTGGATTTTGGTAAATTTGGTATGGTAGGACTCGTGGTTTAAAGGGCTTCCAGATTTTGTAACTTTTATTGGATTCCGAGGCGTGGGCCCAGGGGGGCGACTTTTGAGTTGGCTTTCGACCTTTTGGTTAAGAACTTAGTATTTTCTTATGGAATAGATTCCTTTATCTTGTGTTGATTGTATTGAATTCCTCTTGTCTAGTTTTGAGTCGTTCGGAGGTCGGTACGCGCGAGATAGCATTTTTGGAGCATCGTTTGGTTTGCTCGGCGTTGGATTTGGCTTGTTCCAGGTAAGTAACACTTCTAAACTTGGATCTGAAGGTATAAACCCTGATTATATGTGTTATGTGATTTGTTTGAAGGTGACGCACATGCTAGGTGATGGGCGTGTGGTCGTGTACCGTAGAAATTGAGACTCAGTCGATTCCGTAGAGTTGTGTAGTCAATTAACTTGTATTGTCCATGTATTTTTCATGTGTTAGAGAAACTGAGTTGTGACTCATGTTAGAAATCATGCTTAGGCAAATAATGGTATTATTGGGACCCACTGAGGTCATTCCATCTGTCGAATTATATGTTTGAATTGTAATTTTGTACTCAGTCATATTCATTCATTACATATCATATCTCAGTCTCTGTTGTTATTTACTGATACATCATATCATCATTTTGGGCTAGTTTTATGACATTGTGAGCCCGAGAGACTGGATAGATTGATGACTGAGTGAGGCCGAGGGCCTGATTGTGAGTGATATTTATGGGATCGGGCTGCACGCCGCAGCATATTTTTATTATTTATGCCTGGATCTGGCTTATTATAGCGCTTGGGATTAAGGAGCCCCTCCGAAGTCTGCACACCCACAGTGACCGCAGTGGATATTATAGTTGGGATGGAGTTCCCTGGGCATGGCGTTGCCCTACATATTCATATTTGGGATGGAGTTCCATGGGCATGGAGTTTCCCTATACATTTATATTGAGGGATGGATCTTCCCTAGGCTAGACCTGCCCCGTACAATACTGAGTGATTGAGTACTCTAAGAGTGAGTACATGAGTTCATCATTGAGATGCATTGCATTCGACATGCGTACTTGAGATACAGGCATAGAAATGCATTTCCTCTTGCTACCCGATTTTGATGACATTTATGATTTCACTTGTATATTGACATGTAGGTATAAAGATGTATTTTTCTCATGCTATCAGAAAATGAAACATATTATTTATTATTGAAAGGTTTTTGGGAAAACCACAGTTTTCAAACTTATCCATATATCTTTTAAGTTTTCGGTGAAAGATCTGGGATTTATTGTTATACTTGAAAAACATGCCTATTTTTCGTAACTGTGAACCAGCTGAGTTATTTCTTGTACCATCTTTATTATATTTTTATGAACTCTCGTTAGTTATTGGAGTTGGACTCTGACCCTTGTCCCAGCTCACCACTACTTTCAACCTAAGGTTAGGTTTGTTACTTATTGAGTACATGCGGTCGGTTGTACTCATACTACACTTCTGGACCTTGCGTGCAGATATTGGATGCTGATGTAGCTGCGTACGGCGGGAGCTGAATCTGAAGATGTGCCTGCGTTCCAGTCATAGCTGCCTCTTGATCTTGGTAGCTTTAGTATTTCAGATTTGTTCATATATTTCAAACAGATGGTGTATCTTATTTCAAACCAGCTTTGTAAACTATATATCTTAGAAGATCTTGATTTATACTACCAGTCCTTGGGGAGTTATATAAATTCAGTTATCTCATCTTTGACTCACATCGGTATTATGATATCGTATTTTATAGTTAATTGGCTTACCTAGCGGGTCGGGTTAGGTGTCATCTTTAGGTTTTGGGTCATGATAAGTATATAGCTATATTATAATAGTATACAATATACTTTAATGGTATGCTATAATAATATACAATATACTGCAACTGTATGATGTAATGGTATACAATATACCATAATAGTATACTTCGACTGCTATTTTGTTGAATCATCTAGATGGTATTGTGCAAAACTAAAGTCATGGTTATAGTAACATTATACTGTTATAGTATACAATATAATATAACAGTATATCGTAATAAATAAGTCAATTTTTTTAAAATTGTTTTTAATTTTTCCAACTATGTCCTTGCAAATATTTTCTTAAATGAATTTTTTAAGTACTTCCATGAAAATAATATCTATTGTATAAGAAGTAGGTGTTGGAAGGCATAAAATAGTAATATACATATTTGGTATATTTATATACAGTTTTGGTATACTATTGTGACAAGTATTTTACAATAACATTAAATAATAATATGTCATTTTATTATACTAATATACCATTTTATTATAATGATATATAATTTTGGATCCAATGTACTAGAAATATTTACAGTAATACATATATTTAAAAAAAGAAAAAAATGCTATGAAAAAAGAGAGAAGAGAAAACATGTATAATGTATAAGTTCTTCTAATAATTTATTTAAAGAAGAAAAAAAATAGAAAAAGAAAGACAAATGGTATATTATACTATCAGTTATAATAAAGAATCTGAATAAATATTAACTATATCAGTTATCTTTTATTATTGTATAAAAAAAGAAGAATAAAGAAAAGGAGAAAAAAATGAATGTAATTAGATTATGTAGAAAAAAAAGTAAAAGAAAAAAAGAACTAAATTAATTCAGAAAAGGAAGAAGAAATAAAGAAAATGAACAAAAGGAAAGAAAAAAGAGAAAAAATAAAATAAAAGAATGGAGCCGAAATTGAGAATGGAATCATATTATTTGAAAATAATAAAATAAAAAATAATATGATTTAAAGAAAGAACGGAAAAGGAGAAAAAGGGAAAAAATAAAGAAAAGGGAGAAAAAGGAAAAGGATAAAAAAAAATAGCCAATTACACAAAAGCTACAATGGTTAGAAAAGGTAATTAGTTTAATTTTTATGGGTAAAGCTATAAAACTCCCTTATTAATACTCTTACATCCATTTCTGTGGCATGTTCGGATTTCTAGAGTCAAACGAATTTTTTTTATCACGATTGTTTCTTATGGCTTTTTAATATTTTAAATCGTTAATTATTGTGACCAAATAATATATTTTTTTACGTAGTTTTTAAATATGTAAAAAATTCAGAAGAATTTTAAGGATTATATCCGAATTGATGGTTAAAATTAAAACTTTGACTTTTGGGACACAAGGAGTGTCTTCCTTGGAAAATGAATATAAGATTTTTGCACACCTTTGATTTATTTTAGAGGAGGGATGTCGCTGACTTCTATTTAAAGTAAAAAAATATTCAGCCATCAATATTTTGCCTCAGCAATCTGCCTAAAAGCTAGCGACTCTCCAAATAAGCACATATACACTGTACAGCAAGAAAGAAATTTATTTTAAAAAAATTATGAAAACAAAGTAACCTGTTTGCTGAAACATGCACCGCACGTTCTCCCAACCATTCACAAATAAACTTGAGAAACTAACACCAAAATCTCCTCCATTCTCTACTTCTCAATCAAAAAAACATTATTTTGCTTAATTCCTTCTCTCCCTTGTTTGCCTGCACAAACCTTTTCTTCTCTAACACCAAACTTTCCATTTTCTTTTCCTTCTTTTTACCTCCCCTCCATCCCCATATACATAAGTTTTCCTATCTTATAATCTCGAGTTTCATATAACCGACCCCAATTAGTTTCAAACTGAGACGTAGTTGTTATTGTTGCATGGTCGGGAGTTTGATCGCGTGAGATAGTTTTATATTGCTTGAATCAGAAAGATGGTTCGAGCAGCACTTGAGGAAGCCAAAGAAATGTGCAAAGCTAAATTGCTGCATTTCAAAGGAAAGTCAGAGGATGGAACAGGACAGGAAACGCGAAGTGTGATTCTTGAGATTAATAATAATAGTGATTCATCAATATTGGCTTCAGGGGATGAAAGGGTAACGTCTAAAAGTGAAGCTTCAATGCCTTTACATGATCAACCTGTTGAATTTCAAAGGATTGGGTGTGTCCTTAATCGTAGTGAGTCTATCAAATCGCGCTTGGCTAATGATTCTGGTGTCCCTAGCCCTCGCCCTAGACAGACCCAGCCCTCAGGCAAGCCATCTGTCTTTTGATAATATAATGTAACAACAATATTAACGCCTCAATTTCAAACAAGTTTGTACCATCGTATAAATTCTTAACAACTATTCTGCTGCATTTGGAACCTTTTCAGCACGCACTAGGAATTATTATGAATTGACTAGCTTTACGCATAAATGTCAACCTAGTTTGACCTACCAAAATTTGATAGATTCTTTCATTCATTAATTCTACATTGAACTCAAATATTAAAAACCTTGGGTAATTGTATTATTTCTTTATATCATTTGTATTGCCTAGTTTTGGAAGGGAATTTTGATTTCTATTTCCCCTCTCTACCTCTCTTTGGGAATCTCTGGGGACAAAACATGGTGAAATGTTTGAGAAAATTTCAAGACTGGTGATACTATTTTCAGATGTTCATATATCTCCTATGACCATATTGTTGACATACCTACTTTTTGTGGCACAAATTTAGATATGGAGCTGATGAAGGAAAAGTTTGCAAAGTTGCTGCTTGGCGAGGATATGTCCGGTGNATATATATATATATATATATATAGACACACACTATTTCGGTACCACTTTATATGATATTCATTTTGGAGCCGAGGGTGTACCAGAAACAGCCTCTCTACCTATACAAGGTAGGGGTAAGGCTGCGTACATACTACCCTCCCCAGATCCCTATTTGTGAGATTACACTGGGTTTGTTTGTTGTTTATATGACATTCATTCTATATTCTCATAATAATACTTTCTTTGTTCCTATCTTTTTTTCTTTACTCATGTATGCAGCTTCTGCTTTTGGGGAACAGAAGAGATTAGAGCCAATGCCAGCTGAGAGAAAAGCTAAATGGAGAAGAGAAATTGATTGGCCGTTATCTGTAACAGATCACATTGTTGAATTTGTTCCTTCTAAACAAAAATCAAAAGACGGAACAAGTATGGAGGTAGTTCTCTCCCTCAACCCTGTCTATTCAGAAACTCCTCATCATGTCATATATCTAGCTAACAACTTACAAGAGCGTATGTGTTGGGCTAAAATGACTCAATGATACTCTTAACATAGTGTGATATTGTTCGCTTTGGGCTAAGCCCGTACAATTTTCCCAAAAGACCTCACACCATTAAGAAATCCCTACCTTATATGTAGGCTCCTAATCTTTTCAGTTACCAATGTGGAATTTTGTTCGCACATCCAACAATATGCTTTTAATTTGTTAGGTTATGGTGACAAAGCAAAGAACCGATCTTCAAATGAATATTCCAGCACTACGCAAGCTAGACGCTATGCTTCTTGTAAGAGAAAAGTTCATTTCAAGTCATTGTAAAATAATTTAACTTAAAAGCATTTGATGTTTATGCTTGGATTGATGACCTACAGGATTGCTTAGATAACTTTAAAGATCAAAATGAGTTTTCCTATTCATCGAAGGATGACGAATCACAAGAAGGGAGGAAAGATGATAAATGGTGGATACCAACTCCTAAGGTTCCTCCTAATGGCTTGTCCGATGTTACAAGGAAATGGCTGCAATTTCAGAAGGATTCAGTAAACCAAGTTCTTAAAGCAGCCATGGCTATAAATGCTCAAGTCCTGTCGGAAATGGAGATCCCCGAAAGTTATATAGACTCCCTACCCAAGGTACAATAACAAAAGGAAATCTTGAGCGTAGAGGTTTTGTATAAATGTATCGTCACACTATTTAAGTATTGTCTTTGAATATTTTATTTTTTTATGTTTAGAATGGGAGAGCAAGTCTTGGAGATGCAATCTATAAGAGCATCACTGATGAATACTTTGATCCTGACTACTTCCTCACAACTATGGACTTGTCTTCAGAACATAAGATTTTAGACCTCAAGAACAAACTTGAGGCTTCTGTAATTATTTGGCGACGAAAGATGACTGCTAAAGATGGGAAGTCAGCATGGGGTTCAGCTGTTAGTTTAGAGAAGAGAGAAATCTTTGAAGAAAGAGCAGAGACTATCTTGCTTATTCTTAAGCAGCGCTTCCCTGGAATTCCTCAGTCATCTCTAGACATTAGCAAAATCCAATACAATGGGGTAAGAAGAACCCTCTATTGATCTACCTTCAATATTTTTAGTGATATACTAGAGTATCTACGCTTTTTACCTTGTTTCTGCAAGATATGCAATTGGATATTCTTTTGGTTGTTACCAGAATATTTATCTGCTATTCATTATTCCTAAAAATAGTTTCATCTAATATTTGAAGTCGTAATGGCTTCAAAAATCAGCAAGTTACACATTTGACTGGTCAGCCAAAAGTAATTAAATCCTCTAACTAAATACTTCCTTCGTTCCAATTTATGTGAACATGTTTGACTGGGCACGGAGTTTAAGAGAAAATGAAGACTTTTGGATTTTGTGGTCCTAAACAATTCAAAAAGGGGCCCAGAGTATTTGTATGGTTATAAAAGTTTTTCATTAAGGGTAGAATTGTAAGTTTAAGCAAAATTGTTTCCAAATTTAGAAAGGGGTCATTCGTTTTGGAACTGACCAAAAAGGAAATAGGTTCACATAAACTGGAACGGAGGTAGTATTAAAATATAGCCAAAAGTTAAATATGTATCTTATATGTATATTACACATTAATATACAAAAAATATACATTCTGCCAACTATTATTCTGGGAGCGGCTATACTGTGTAATTTTCCTTCAAAATAAGACCGCAAAGCTAAAAGGTTTTCAGTTCTTAGGCTATTAATAAGTTATAACCTATATTTTTCTCGATTTTACAGGATGTGGGGCAAGCTATTTTAGAAAGCTATTCAAGAATATTAGAGAGCAGGGCACACACAGTCATGTCAAGGATTGAAGATGTTCTCCAAGCAGATGCAACGGCCCAAAATCCTTCGAGTGCTGAAGTAAAAAGGTTTCCTCTAAGAGATTCATTACGTGTATGTCCATCAGGCAGATTCCCAAATGCTAAGGAAGAAGTAGAAAAGCTTAACTCTGTGGAGAATCCAACTTCAATGACACTGTTGGATTTCATGGGTTGGACAGTGGAACAAGGAGAAAATGACGCAAAGAAAGATTTGAAGGAGGACATAGACATTGATGCGAAGAAACCACCTAACATAGTCACAAACAAGAAAAGTTCTTACTTAGAGAACTTAGTTGGTTCTAGAAGTCCCACAGCACGCCACTAAGTGATGTCGCTGCGAAATACGGATCAACTCATCGGAGGCTAGACAGAGGAAGTCATCAAAGTGACAATCAGCCTCAAATGTACATAACGAGATGAATCACACAACCCATCTAGGATTTCACTAAGTCCATTCCTGTTGTAAATAGGGAATAGTTAGTAGGCCTGTTGGTGTGACACTTATTAAAATGATTCACTCTGCAGAAGATGTCACCTTGTTGACAAATAACCACGGAAGTAACGGACTTTTTTCCAAAATAGTCCGTTCTTACCTTGGATAGCCTCTGCTAAAAAGAGTTTTGTAATCTGGAATTTGGAGATTATACGGCATATAGTATCATTATTTGGTTTAAGACAATTCCCCTGCAACTTATCAGTAATTATTTCCTTTCTATTTTCTCCTATGGACAGAAACAGTGAGAAAATATCATGTTAGTGGCTTGACATTCTGAGCCAAATTTAAAGCAAAGAGCTTCCTGTTCTAGTGAATTAGAAGTCAAAATAGGTTATCGACTTTCTAGCCAAAGTTCTATTGAAAACATTATTCATTGACACCTACCTGAACCAATAAAAGTAACATCTCAACATTCAATGTCATAAGACGCCAAGCTAGAAAGCAATGCTCCAACTTTGGAACAAGATAAATCGTATGCAATAAGATTTAACTTCTGTAACAAAAGTTTCAGGTAGGCTTCAAGAATACTTACAAGCTGGGGACAGATACATCAATTACAAAATGAAGGTTGAGAAAGTTGGATTGAAAAGAAATTAGATCTTTCCGCGTGGCCCAAGCTTGGGTGGAAGTTGAGGTCCTTTCTTGATTGGTAGTATATCCCCTGATGCTGTTGAACTGAAGTATGCAAGAGTTGAGCCACCTCCCAATATCAGGAATTTGAGCAACAGACCTCTCTTAGTGAAAGGAGCAGCAAAAGTCTCGAAAAACTTGCTCTACCAAATACAACAAATTACAAGAGAGAGTTACCACAATAGCACAACCAACATGTGAGCTTGCACAGACACAATCATTCCATGCAAGCACGACAACCAAACCCTTAATATTTGTCAGACACACACAACTAGCGCAAGTAGTTGTGGATGCAAAGTAAATGGTCTTTTCGACTGTAACTGTGTGTATATGAAAATTTTACAAAATATATATCTATACTAAGTTTGCTGCCACAAAGAAGCAGTTGTTATAATGATACTGTGTACATACCAACCTAAAATCTTGGATCTGCATCTGAGCTTAAGTAATTACGAAACAGTTTAATCACATTTTCTATCCACAAGATACTAATGTCTACATATGTGAGAAACTGAGTTTCTTCACTTATTGCTCATATGCTCATTACTGACCATAAGTAGAACAAAACTTCTCTTGTAATTTGTCTAAATATGCCAAGTTGTTCATAACTCTCATGTAAGCTAAATTGGTTTATATTGGTTCAGTTGTTAACGTTCCTAAGACCATAGTAGCGAACTGTTTGCCTTATGCTCAAATACATGCTCAATTCCTAAAATACATACAAAAATCCTAGTTAAGCAAACACTTCATAAATTGCCCATCGCCGTAAATGAACCTAAGAAAGCTACCAAGACTATTCTATAGTACCAATGAATGAGAAGTTGAATTTAAACATGAAAAGTTTACTAATTCCTATAATACTGAAATGCTGTGGATTTCCGGCCAATTTAAAAACTGCAGAAGAAATATTATCCATAATATGTCAATTGCATCTGGTAAGAAAGATCAAAAAAGTCATTAACACTATTGACAATTGATGACAAATTCCAGTCTCTAAATTGTTCCAATAGTTATGCAAAACATCCAGTAAGTTTTTTTTTTCTATTTTTACTACCATCTCTTATCCAATCAAAAGCATAAGTTTAGAAACTCCTCAAAGGTCATGTAATTAAATCATCAATTAAAGTATGAAACACTGCTTGTACCATCCTAACAAATTGGAGCAAATGCAGTGAAACATGTGAAAAGTTCATTTTGGGATAGTACAGAATGAAATATGAAGTATTGCTGCAAGTAAAAATCTGTTTAGGAGGGTGGGGTTGGGGGTTGGGGGGGGGATCAAATACCTGAAGGGGGTTGTATGGTGAAGGTGCATCTGAACCATACAAGTCCCACTGGCCAGTAGTGTTGCCCAAGTCCTCTAAATCAAAGTATACACTCTTGTCACCATACTTTGCTACCACAGAACCAGCCCTAGGGAAAAATGTAATACCCAGTCAGATAACAATCACCAAAAAAACAACACTAACAGTATAAAACAACACTTACATTATCAGTTCATACAAACAGATAACTACAATTGAATGTTCATATTAAGTGAGATAATTAGTAATAAGTATAAAAATTAAGGCAAGAGATTGGCTACAAAAAGGTCCGGTGCACTAAGCCCGTGCTATGCGCAGAGTTCGGAGCCTCTTATCCTGCATTTATGCTAGAGACTATTTTCACGGCTCGAACCCGTGGCCTGATCACATGGCAGGAGGCTACCCTTCTAATAAATCATTAGTACTTTTGAGATTAACTTTTATACACTATCGACAAGCTACATCCGCCGGGGCAGTTGAAAGCTGTACCTGGATTTAGTAGACTTCAAATTAAGGCGAGATGATTTAACATGTAGCTTAGTTCCAACAATGGAGCTTCCAGCTAGGCCATTGACGGCAGTTGTGGGCTGTACTGCAGCAAGAGTTGCTAAAGATGCCATAGTCTTCACTTCAAACTAACAAAACTAACTTTAGATAGTAGTAATAAATTGGCACATTTTTTGGTTTTTGATCTTTTTTTCATGGATCGCAAAAGACACGTGGCACAATGGGTATCTTGATAAAGATACGGAGTTTAACTTTGTGTGGTGCCACATATGTTGAGGCCAGATAAGCTTATCCCTTTTAAGATTGTGAATTTTGTGTAATTTGTCAGTTTTTTTGTGAGGCAAAGGCCAAGGCTGCCAAAGTAACCAGAAAAAAGGTTAGGGTTTGTCTTTAATTTATTTATTTTCTTTTCTCTAAAACATCTTTTTTTCGTCTCAAAATTAACTTATTACTACTATTTTGGAAAATAATAATCGGCTATTATTTTGAGAATGACTATATAATATTATTTTTTTATTATTTTATTCCAGTTTTACTCCTTATGATATTTGACTAATTACATTTAACCTTTACTTAAATAGAAGTGTGATCTTACTCCAATCATTAATCTATATTATTATAAAAGTATGAATAAAATGTTAAATTACAAAAATAACCTTTTAATATTAAGCATACTAACTCACAATAAAAGGACATAATCAGAATTCTGGACATTAGCCTTGCTATCTTATTAGTTTTAGGACATAATACTACACGTTAGAAATCCTACATGATTACTTTTAGGAATCCTATTAGTATAATTATTTTTGGGCATAGATATTAGCCTTGTAATCCTATTACTTTTAGGATATACTTCTTAAAAAAAAAATTATTACTAATTTAATTTAAAAACGTATTATATTGTCTAAATCTATTTAGAAACACGAGAGTCTATATTATTATAAAAGTACGAATATAATATTGATAGACCAAAATAGCCCTGAAATATTAAACAGAATAACTCATAGGGAAATGACATAGTTGTAATAACTTATTTTTTTGGACTACAATAACTTCCATGTTAATTTTTTTAATGTTTAAGATTTTAAAATTAATACAATCTTGTCTATTAGATTCTTATTAAATATATGTAGGAAAATTTGATATACCTCTTCAAATGACTGAAATAACCATCACAAATATATCAAATCAGATCAATAGTACTAAATTTACAAGAAAAGCAAAAGTGATAATATGGGATGAAGTGCTTTTGGCTAAGCGTCAGACGATCGAAACAATCACCCAGAATTTTAGAGATATATTGGATATCGATGAAATTGTGAGTTCGAGTCACCCCAAGAGCAAGGTAGGGAGTTCTCTTGGAGGGAGGGAGCCGAGGGTCTATCGGAAACAGCCTCTCTACCCCATGGTAGGGGTAAGGTCTGCGTACACACTACCCTCCCCAGACCCCACTAGTGGGATTATATTGGGTTGTTGTTGTATTGGATATCGATGAACCGTTTGGTAGAAAAGTAATAGTTTGGGAGGTGATTTCTATCAAGTACGATCAGTAGTTCCAAAATTGACCAAACCAGAAACTGTAAAAGCTAGCTTGCCAAAATTATACTTATGACCTCAAATGAAAAATATTCAAATGACAAGAAATATAAAAGTAAGAGCAGATCCAACATTCAGTGACTTCTTGCTTCGTGTCGGAATCGAAGAAGAACATCCAATAAAAGATGATTTGGTTCTTCTAGAACACTTAGTTATAAACCCCAATGGTAATAGTAGTGCATTTAATAAGGAAAATATTTTTATCATTAGATTAAAACGCAATTTGTACAAATTACATGATAGAAATTAAGGAGTTATCTTAGATGGCAGAAATGAATATGTTGATCAACTAAACAAAAGGTAGATTGCTAAGTTTTATGGTAAAAATAAAATATTTTTTAATTTTGACTCAACAGAAGATGATACCAACAATAACTACCAAAGAGAATACTTAAATACTTTAATACCAATTGGCCTTCTACCGTATATGTTTGTTGTCAAGTTCATTATTTCTTATGTATGTTATTGTCACCATATATATAATAGACTAAGTTAAAATTGATCTTCCATTGCATATAGGTTTATGCTCGCCATGCTACTGAAAACTTAGATCCGCTGAATAGCTTATGTAATAGTACGCATATGGTATATAGAAGTTTGGACAATAACATCATACATGCAAAACTTATGATACTGGTCAATGTGCGTATAAGCATGTGTTTATACCCAAATTTAACTTCCGTCTTTCGAAACTAAAGAATATCCTTTTAAATTTGTGTGAAAATAATTTTCAGTATTTTTATGTTTTGTAGTTATAAAAAATAAAATACAAGAACAAACATCCTAAATATTGAACTATATTTATCACAATATGTTTTCTTACACGAATAATTATATGTTGCACTTTCAAGAGAGATATCAATATCGACAACAAGAGTTTTGGTTATGGCAGAGTAACCAAAGCATTAGAAGGAAACATACACAAAAAAATAACATCTACAAAGAAGTGTTCGGTAAGATACCATCACATTAGATACCTTTAAACTACAATACATAATTATCTACTTAACATAACTAGAATTGATAATTTATGTAAGTTATGATGATATCCTTTCATTTTGAATACACGTATTATGCTAATGCAATAATATTTTTCGGCATTTAGATGATTGTTGTAGTATTATAAATAAATGTTCTCTCA